CCCCCCCCCCTTTTTTTTCCCCCGTCTTTATAGTCTATGGTTTATTTACAGGGAATATACAATTAAAAATAATGCCTACGTTATAACCTACCGTACCCCTCCCCCCCCCCCCTCCTTTCCCCCATATTTTTACAATGCTTCAATCTACGTCATCTTTTCCTGGAATAATCACAAAATAGTCTCATGTTTTTTTTAAAGTAAAGTCTAAAAGAAAACAAGTCAGATGTGCAATTTAAATTCGATTCAATCAATTTGCATTCCACATATCAAAGATAGCCTAAGATTTTTTTTTTTTTAAAAGCAGGCCTTTTGCGCAGCTGCGCTGGAATAATACCAAAATGAAGTCCAGTAAGTGCCATAAATAGAGCGTGCTTGTTGACATGTAAACAACTCATCTCCCAAAAGAGGCACCAAGTGATTTCAATAATGTGTTTTGCTCTCCTTTCTAACAGTATCTCCAAGCTTCTGACGTAGGTAGACTGGCTCTCGCATGCTTTGCGTCTGTTCATCATCAGCTTGTGCAGGTGCCAACACTCTGCCTTTGAACGCATTTTACTAGCATATGAGCGTTTGCGCACCCCCTGGGTAAAAAGTCGGGCAGAATCTTGTTTCTGGAAATGTGCTCCATTTTTGTTTTTGGTGTGTTTATTCTTTAAAGCTACCATCACGTGATTGTAGAGACGTCATAACAATGTCGTCATGGTGTTTAAGTCGTTACTTCTGAAAGCAGTACCATTGGAAAGAGGGTGGGGGTGAAGGGGGACGGTCTCACCGGGCGCCAACTTCAGAGGCACCCAAATCGTAAATTACCCATCTCTATATTATTATATTTAAAAGCCAAAAATCACTCACTCATTCATTAAGTGCCCCCCCCCCAAAAAAAAATAAATAATTAATTAATTAATTAAAATCCTTTCTAGGAAAAAGTAAGCAATAATGATATTATTGTGTTAATCTTCCCATATTTTCTATTTCTAAGTGATTCAGAGATTTTAGACACGAGATACAATTAAAATAAAAGCCGATCCAAGTGAAAATTTTGAAAGTTTGAATAGACGTCTCTCCTGAATCGGGTCAACTCAACACACTATTTGGCTTTTCGGACCTTTTGTGATACCTTGATTCGACTTTTTATAAAACTAGAGATGGGAATCGAACTTCGAACCCTGCAGACGAACGGAACCCGAACGGAACTTCTAACAGAGGGTTCGAGTCCCATCTCTAACAGAGACTTATACCGGGCGGATTCCCAAAGTTGAGCCCCATCTATTATGAAATCTCAGTACAGGGTATAAACATTTAAAAGAGTGTGGCTAGTGGGTCCCCTGTGGGTGAAGTTAAGTACCTGGACTACCATTGGGGTCGGTTTCAACGCTATAATGTATTGTTAGCCTACCCAGTCCTCCCCCATGGACAGTAGAGAATGTGCTGAAAATGTTCATGGCCAAGACACAAGATGTGTGGTCTGGCTTGAAACTGAAACAACTCTTGAGGTTAGTTGAGTGTGGGGTAATTCTATGTCTCAGTCATTTTTTTGTCTCAGTCAATATTTTGCTCAGTCTTTGCCAAAGTCTTGGACATGATAATATTTTATTAGGGCAGGTGGCGGAAGCGGAGACTAAATATTTGGTATTTAAAATGATGGATAGCCACATCATAATAAGCTCGTGATATCAGTGGGACAAAGGTTGGTGGTTTGTTTTTTTTTTTTATGGGTTTTTTTTTTATTTTTTTTTTTTTTTGTTGGGGGGGGGGGGTGGGGGGGTGGCTTTTT